AATTGAGTTATGTAACATTTTAGAAATTACCCACGGAAGCTATAGATTGTAAGTTTCCTCATGGGATACAACATTAGCGTTTTTATTATTTTTATTATATTAATAATAAAGTATGTGATGTATAGTTTTTCTCCTGATCCGCACTTTGTCGACTCCTGTTCTAATGTAATGGATTGTCTGGTTCATGCTATCAGTTTTAGTTGTTCCTTGGCAAACAGGTTTTGGTCGTAGTTATTACGTTTGGATTGTGCAATGCTAAGGTCACCTTTTCTACTTATTTAGACTGACGGCTTAACATACATTTGTTCGGAAAATGTATTATGTCACTTAAAGGATACGATAAATTTATTTTTTTCTGAACACATTTTTTAAAGTAAATAGTCGGCCAAAATGTCTAATTATGAGACTATGCTCTGATTTTCGATTGCTTTAAGATTATCCAATCAAAAACCTTTATTGATTTGTTTAAATTTATTTGCTTGATCATCTATCTATATGAGATATAAAATCAATTGTTAATAAATTTTAAGCGAATTAATCTTAAAACTCCATCTTGTAATGCTATTTTTTCACATTAATGACTTGATCTAAGTCATTCTTATAAATTCTTTTAATCAGTTTGTAAATTGCGAAACAAACTGATAAACTAAGATACAATAAATAGACAAATTTTAAGAGAGATATTTGTTCATAACGTTATAAAAAGACTGTGATCAACTAGATGCTGCCAAACTCTGAAGAGTTCAAGGAATCTAATTTTTCGGAAAAAATTGATTAATGATTAGGAAAGTTCTAGACAAAATGCATGACAATTCAGGAATATTATATACTTAGAAATATAAAATGTAATATTTACCTGGGTCTTATAATGGTTATTCTGTATGAAAGGTATTAAAATATATTTATATGACTTGCTTAGAATAGGGTTATGCTTTAGGCGATAACATGCCCCCAGACTTGAAAAATTGTGAGCAATTAGTTATGAATATTTTTCAACATAACTTAATCCGAAATTTATAGCCAAATAGATTTCAATTTTATAATAAAATTATGTAACAATTTATCACTTTATAAAGCAATATAAAAAAATGTCACGTGATCTAATAAAATAATAACCCTAAGAACTTCTAGTAGCAAGATTTCTCATTGGAGAAATTTTTCTTAACGTTAATAGAAAATCACGGTTTAAAAATGAAGTATCTTCCTTTTTTTGAAATGAAGAATTATTTCATTTATCTACAATATCCGGAAAAGCTATTTTCACTTGCAAACATATTTTTAAATTAAATACTTAAAAGCATTAATATATTGTTATTAGTAGCATAAAATGCTTTATTAAATTGAAATGTAGTACTCAAAATTTTTTTTTCTCTGTTAGTGTTGAAGTCTTCAATGTGAAGTTTATCTTATATATAAAAATGGAGCTCTCTATAAAATGATCCGCTAAAACTCGAAAACGGCTAAACCGATTTGGCCAGTCTTAGTCTTAAAAAATTCGTGCTAATCAGTAGGTTGTCGGAAAGGTGATATATTATTTCAAAATCGCGTAGAAGCTTCACATTTTTAATTTGAACATTTTTGTAGAAGCGTAATTTGAATAATTTGAATGGACGGTGACTAATACGTCAAATGTCAAACGTTTTTAACAGATGATGTTCAGTTACGTTTAATAGGATGTTTTACGTGAATATTATTTAATTATGATTAAATTATAGTAAGTAGTTTTATTCGTAGTTATATTTATACACAAAAACGTTATTAAAAACATCGCAAGTGTTACTAGAAACTCAAAATATCAACTGTTTTGAAATGTTAATATGAAAATGCACTTTTTGGCGTTGTAGCGTTCTTTTTATTGCAAATCATAAATTTGTGAATTTATGTAACTTTAAAATTAATATAAGACATTAAACCATTTGCTCAAAATCAAATTGAACCTTCATTCCTCGTCCCGCTCTACATATATACTTTTTATTAAATTTACTTTAATTCATCGAATGTTACTTGAAACTTTTCAAAAAGTAGGTCAAAGAAGAAATACTTAATTCATTTTCTATCTCTCCTTGCAAAAATTTGAAATTTTTTGTATAAGCTCAGTAGTATTATTTACAATTATACACAAAATCCAGAATCCAAAAAGAATCTGAAAAACTTGAAACGTAATCGATAAGTCGAAAGACCAAAAAAGACTTGGATTGGATTACACCATGTTTTCTATAGAAAGAGTATAAAACATCCAGTTTGATTGTATTGACAAAATATAGACAAACTAATGGGGTTTATTGTTTTTATAATACCTTTTTGTATATAGCATTCAAACAACACATCCTTCTACACTTAAAGTATTAATATTTTTGATTCTATAGAAATTGTTTAGAATATACCTTACACTTAGCAAAACAACGTTTGCCGGGTCAGCTAGTTATTATATAAATATCTAAAAATTACGAGAAAAATATAAATCTCTGTACATATATTCTACTAAATTTTTATGCTACATTCTTGAAATCGCCTAATCAATTTTTACCAAAATGCATGAATTATAGCTATGTGAATATGATAATTTTCGGTGAATTAATTGAAGATATATAAAGGTACAACAACTAAGAATTTTATGATCAATATTTGATAAAAATTATTGAATTTAAACATTTTCTGTCCTCTGTTCTCAAATTTAAAATCCACTCATCATACTAGACCAGTAATTGAGTTCCTCCCGAAACGACCTCAATTGACACCAATCTGCAGAAACGGTGCTACCGTTGTTAAAAATAATTTACCGAGATGACTCTTACATTCCCGAGTGGTTTTGTCATTTGCGACAATTTTATTAAACTATTTTTGTCATTTGCTAACATTGTTTTTATTCTTTATATAATCAGGATAGTAAAAAACATATAAACGCCAATGATGTGTCAAGGATGGTGTCTTGATTCTTTAGATGATTTGACGTTATGGGAAACTTTAATACTTGAGAAATAATTTAATAATATAAATAGTGTAATAAATATTACATAATTGGGTAGACTTACAATGAAGATCAATAATTATTTCTAATGTAGATTGTACCACACATTAGAAAATATGGACAGTAACATTAATTCCTGCACCTCGTGCCCTGTAATTTTTGGTAATTAATTCTAAACGACAAATTATAGGTTTAATTATTTTAAAAGGTTGTAAAACTCTGTCAGCATTATTATTATCAAATGCATATATCTTAATATTCATATCAACATATGATGATTTTTATCTATTTATCTATTTATCACTAAACCAATTAGCACTTCGTTAACATTTATTTAACACTGTTTTGATAAGACTCTTAAAAATTTTCTATGAAACATATATGGGCGGCTCTTCTTTGGAACTGTTATCTAAATTAAGTTAAAAAACGAAAGTATTTTTTTCTTGAAGTTTTATTGGGATAGGCTGATAATAAAAAACCGGTTAGAAAAGATACAGAATACAGTAATATAATATGTATGTTAACACTTTTTTAAGTCTTGGGTCAAGATTTTGAGTGAGGTGTTGAAAGTGATAAGGACTGGATTAAATCATTTTTAATTTTTATAGTGATGGGCTTATTGATAAATACCTATATATATTTGGGTGGTCCTTAATATGGATATTTTTGAATTTCTTAGCTCCCAGGAGCTCAAATACTTCCAAATTAATAAAAAAAAATTCTCTGAAAGTTTCAGCTCTTAATATTAACATTTAGGTAGTCCGCAATTCAATTAAAAGTTCCATATATTTATTATTATCATACGTCATTAAGTAAATTCTTGCGCCATCTGTGATAGCATTTGTGATCTCAAATATTATGACACTTAAAAATATTAACAAATCACTTGCATGTCGAGTCATTAAGGAAATATTCATTCATCATGACATCAATATTAATTTTGCAGCAAAATATTTATTTATTGGTGATGTTGACACTCAAATTATTAGTAATAAATTGCCATCAAAATTACAAGTCTGCTGTCATAGATGGCGCAAGAATTTACTTAATAATACATGTTAAAATATACGAAACTTTAGATTGAATTGTGGGCTATCTATCTAAATGTTAATATTTATAGCTAAAACTTTTGGAATAAATTTTTTTATTAATTTGGAAGCATTTGAGCCCTTGGGAGCAACAAAATTTGAAAATGGCGATATCAAGGACCACCCTAATATATATAAATATATGTAAAAGAACTTATATTCTATTTGAATTAGAATATGTATATTATATATTTTCTCATGATTGAGAAAAAAAGAAAAAAAAATATTAAAAAGGCCTAGAACTTTAGTCAAACTGTATAACTATTTGTTAAAATTAATTTTGTCACCTCGTTTCGGCTTGACGTTGAGTTCTGTGATACCAACATATAGTTTTTTCAGAATTGTTTCATCATTACTAATATTATCTCTGGGATCGATTCTGCCCCATAACAGAAAAATGTTATGGCAAGGCTATGTTATGAAGAACTTTCCATACTAAATATTGACAATAGCCATGTGGTTGCCGTGCAGTCTGGCGTTTTTCTTAGCTTGTCAGAAAGAAAACCTAACCTAGAAACTGCACAAACGATCTTAGATAACAGGGTCTTTCTGACCCAGCTTCATAACATACGGGTGGCGTTGCAGTTTATGTGTAAAACGCCTGAATGCACAGCAAATACATGACATTTTGACAGTATTCAGTATGATTCGGTCGCATAATGTATGGAAGTCGGAGCGTAACATGGCCTTGCCATAACATTTTTTTGTTATGCGGCAGAATCGGTTCCATATTTTGATTTTAATAATAGTAATGATGAAAGAATTCTGAGAAAACTATATGTGGGTATTACAGAACTCAACGTAATTTCACATAGTTATTATATAAAAAAACTGAAATTTTATATATTTTTTGTGCTCCATCCATAATATAAGATAAAATTATATTTTATTTACAAGAATAGTTCAAAAAATAATTTTCCTAATTAGATTTTTTTCTTTTCCAGTACGGAGCGATCCAGAGTCCGAGTGACTTTCTATCAATCTTCGAGGCCTCAGTGCGTAAGTCCAGCTCTGTCCGGTAGTCCGGACCTGGCAAATCCTTATTATACACAGAATTTCCAAGACACACCTGTCAGTATGACGGCTGTATACGACAGACAAATCAGGTAAATGATAATTAAAAATTAATTTGACTAATAGTCAATAAATGAGATAGACGACAGCATATTGCGGTAGGCTATGAAGTTAGAAGTTGTATGTGTCGTGGATTAAAATCATAGACTTTACACTACATGGACTGCTAGTCCTCATATGTTTTCCATTTTATAAAGTGTCAAAAAATAGAATGAAGTTGTGACGCCACTGGGTGAACGAGCGTTGCCGACCGTAGTGGGAACTCCCGTCACAGTCCTTTTCTATGTTTTGACATTTATTTTGCGCTCTTAAGAAGAAACATTATTCTGATTAGGGAATGCAATACCGATGGAAAATTTCAATACCGGTATTTCGGTAATTTTTCATTTTAAAACCGGAATACCGGGAAATTACCGGTATTTTTATTATCTTAAACAAACATAAACCAAATTGAAAGTTACTAGTACAAGTATAAAAAAATAATACAATAAGATTATTTTTTTAAATAATAATTTAACAAAAGTATATCCAGTTTAATTAATTCATTATCACTATCGAATATATTGAGTACTTTTCACCAAAAACAAACTTATGAGTAAGAAAGACCAAAAACTCATAAAAGATCATATTACATTATTATAATAAACTGTATTATCTGTATTCGATGTGTTAAATTAGCATAATCTCCTATATTTAAAAAAAATCATTTTTCTACACTAATTTAAGATCGGATTCTTTGTCGAGATAAATAATAAGTTACTATAATTGTTGAGTATTGTTGTTTAAAACAATGTGATGCTTCTATAGTATTTTCAAACTTAGAAACGTTTTCGAAAAATAATATTTTATAATTGTAATAAGAAGCAAAAATATTTAGTAATTATCATAATTATCTTCTATATATATAAAAATAAGTCGGGTTTTCCTTCCTGACGAAATAACTCCAGAACGCACGAACCGATTTCGACAATTTTGCATTCGTTGGAAAGGTCTCGGGCTCCGCAAGGTTTATAGCTAAGAAAATTAGAGGTGCATGGCATCGTGCCTTAATGCAAGCTGCTGGAACTTCACGCACCGTAATTAAAAATTCGAGTAATGACATTAGTGAGAATTATCAGAATTATGCTTGGTTAAGTCAACGAGCAATTCTTGCCGCAACGAATAATGATGTACACACACTGAATTTCACCATTCAATCAAAAATTGCTGGTGACATACCAATGATTCCGACTGGTCTTCCGTTTAACTTCAAACGATTGCAATTTCCAGTTCGCCTTGCGTTCGCAATAACAAGTCGCAAGGGCAATCGCTTAGTGTTTGCGGGATAAATTTCAAATAGATTATTTAGAAAATCATTGTTTTTTACATGGGCAGTTATACGTTGCCTGTTCACGAGTTGGAAAACCATCCGCTTTGTTTGTGTTAACGTCAGACCAAAAAACAAAAAATGTGGTTTACCAAAGAGCACTTCAATGAAACGGATAATTTGCGGATTCACTTTCATTTACTTAGAGAAGTTCTACTAAAAAACACTTCATTTTTGTAATCGAAATAAATTCATTACTGTTGTATAATAAAATCAATTTTTTTCTTTTCAAATATAAAACAAACAAAAAATTTCTTCATTTTTCTCGCGAAACCATCTGGTCTCTGGTGGCGAAACGGAGTTAGTCGGGTTTGCTAGTTATGTATAAAGTTAGAAAAAAAATAAAGATTATGCAGGGGTAATCTGTTCGATATAAAATATTTTGGCGCAAATGTCACTTAAAAAACCATTACATTTTTACAAAAGATCATTATCTATCAGTCCAATTCTATTTATTGTAACACGATATGAAGCACTTTGGAAAGCAATAAATATACAGTTTAATCACGAGTTGAAATAATATTTGACATTTGTTTATCTTATAGAATCACTTGAAGATATAGCTGTTTATGCGATTATGAAATTTAAAGGTAAATTTGTTCCGAGAAATTTAAACTTTGGGGTATTATGTATTAAATAGCGCTTATGTAAAAATACCGAAAATACCGGTATTTTTGGAATAAATACAGGTAAAAATACCGCCGAAAAATTGGGCGGTTTACCGGCAATTCGGTATACCGGTGTGTGCCGGTATTGCATTCCCCAATTCTGATCATTCATTGGTGATTTAATTAATTTTTCTTACTTATTTTTCTCGTTAGACAAATTTTTAGGCTGTGAAATTAATTATGAATTCACCAGCCGATTTAAAAATAATCTCTCTATTTCTACGATTTCTCAAGTGTTGTTTACATCCGATGCAATCTCGAAAAATGATTTTTGATAGGAACCAGACCAGAATATTTATTACTAGCGTTTTTATCTTGCTTAGACATTGTGCAGATTATTATTAATAGAATTTGGCGTATGTTTAGTATCTTTATACCGAGAATTTTATTTTGAAATTATTTTTGGCATATTTATGAGCGCAACATAGTATTTTTTATTTAATGTGATTTGCAAGAACTGTTAGATAATTCTTTTTCAATTAATTAAAAGAGTATGTATTACAATGCGAAACTTTTGCCCGAAAAGCTACCAGCTGGAGCACTGAATAAAAATACACATTTTATTGTAGCTATTTTTTACAGTAATTCTTAATTATATTTGAGATCTTCAAGCAAAATATATTTTTTCTTTGTTTGAGATGCTGAATGGGATATTTCACTCTATGATGCACCAAATACAGCTCAACAATCAATCATTAAAGATAAATGCGCTATATTTCATTTCGATATTATTTTTCTCGAGAATAGAATTTGGCGTATGTTTAGTATCACTATACCGAGAATTTTTATTTTGAAATGGTAGATAATTCTTTTTTAATTAATTAAAGGAGTGATGTATTACAATACCAAGCTTTTGCCCGAAAAGCTTCTAGATGGAGCACTGAATAAAAATACACATTTTATTATAGTTGTTTTTTACAGTAATTCTCAATTATATTTGAGATCCTCAAGGAAAATATATTCTTTCTTTGTTTGGGATGCTGAATGGGATATTTCACTCTATGATGCACCTAATACAGCTCAACAATCAATCATGAAAGATAAATGCCCTATATTTCATCTCGATATTATTTTTCTCGAGAATAGAATTTGGCGTATGTTTAGTATCTCTATACCGAGAATTTTTATTTTGAAATTATCTTTGACATATTTATGAGCGTAATAGAGTATTTTTTTAATTAATGTGCACGATTTGCGTGAACTGGTAGATAATTCTTTTTTAATTAATTTAATGAGTTATGTATTACATTACGAAACTGTTGCCCGAAAAGCTACCAGATGGGGCACTGAGTAAAAATATAATTTTTCTTGTAGTAGAAAATTTATTCTTCTTCCTTTTTTACTAAATTATAAGTTTATATTATATATTGGGATGCTGAATGGGATATTTCACTCTACGATGCATCTTATACAGCTCAAGAATCTTTCATGAAAGATACGAGCGCTATTTTCCATCTCGATAACTATATGTAAAGGAATCGAATTTTTGTTTATATTTTTATTTATAAATCACTATTACCATTCCTCTTCTGACATTTACCTTTGCCATTTTCCTATCTATCTACTATCTATCAGTTTTCCGCATTAATCACTAAATCGGTTCCCGAAACATTGTCTAAGTCTGTTATCTTTTCTTAAAAGGTTTTCCATTTCCGAAAAAATTGCCTTATCCAATTTTCCTTTCGGATAACTAAACAAGTTTTCCTTAAGTATATACGCAAACGATAAAAATGCCGTCAATTAAAACTGAAAATAATATCGTGGAATTTTGTTTGGTTGTAGATTGGGGATAAGGAATTTTGCACACTTGATACGGAATTATATATATATATATATATATATATATATATATATATATTATAATTAACATAATGCAATATGGGGCGAGCAATTTGTTTTATTCTATTATCATCATTAAATTACAAATTGTCTTTAGAAAATGATATTCAGTAATTTTGAAGGTTTTGAATGTTTACTCGATAGTTAGCTCAGTAGTGTATATGTTTATTTGATGTTATTCTGATTTAATTTTCAAACTACTTTTTTATAAAATTTACTAGACAGCAAAATATTAAATATTGAACTGACATACAGGAATATGAGGTTTACGCAAATTTCTTTATATCATTTTACCATTTTGTCTTAAATTTATTATTACATTTTGGAACAGCAATCAGACCCAAGAGTTCTATGAGTTTTCGAAATTTTAAGCTGTTTTTAGATAGCAATCCAACGATTGAACTATCTATATTTAGTATTTTTTCATTATTAGAATTTATTTTTAATAATGAAAAAGTTTTCACTTAGAAACATATTTTGGTTCCAGTGAATACATAGTAATATCTCTACTCTTCATAATTGTTATTTAGAATTCAGCCTTTTACTTTTTTTTAATTTATAAATTTATTAATAAACTTTAATGAATAATTCTTAACATTTTTCCAAGTGTTGATTGTTTTCTTTATACATCAAAGCCATTATTTTGAATTTTACCAATTTATTATTATACTATTGGATATCCAAATTACAACATGACATTTACAGTACGCATTTACATATTTTTTCGAATAATATAACTTAAAATTTGCACTCCAATTTTACTTTCCAACTTCAACCATACATTTGCCAATTCAAGTATTTTCATTTTTACTATATCTACTCATTAATTTTTATATATTCTTACGTTTCAAAGATTTCTGAACATTTCATCGAAAAAAATTCTTAGAAAAAATAGATGTGTTCGGATGCAATTTTTCGTCGACGATTTCGAGAAAACGCTTCAAACGCTTTGAATTATTCAATTCCTATTGATTGGGAGACGTGCTGATTAGTTTTCGGCAAAGACAGGTCTAGCCATTTCGGAGAAACGGGACAAAAAGTGCCAAAAATGGTAATTCAGTTTTTGAGAGAACGGAGCGTCCGATTTGTTTGATTTAAAAAACATTTTATTTGTATTGATTAAATGAAGAACTGTTTGAATTTTTGGGAAGGCAGGTCT